TAAAAGGTATTGATCCCAAAAAGTTAACTGTCATAGAACAACTTTCATCGGCATACAAAAGTTTCTTTATAATAGTTCATAACTACAGATAAGGTGTAGCTTTCCTATTAAGCTCTATAATTTCTTTCATTAACCATGACACATTCTTTCCGAATTTAGAAACTGGATCAACGTGATGCTTAATTATTTTTGCTTCAACAGCTAGTTCCCCAACATATCTAGCAACTTCGCTCATTTGTACCATGGCCTCGAATACCATATTACTTCTTTCTTCACTTCTTTCTACATAGAAATCAGTTGATTTTTGCCATTGTTCATTAGTTCCTTCGAGAGTTTGCTCTAACGCAGTGAAGCACTTTCCTCATTACTTTCTTTGAGATCACTAGGTCCTAGACGAACCTTTTCTTGAAATAATGACTCTTCAAGTTGCAAGATGTAAGCATTGAACTCTGAGTTTTTGTTTCTAGGCTGATCCAGATCTTCTTCAAGTTTTGTTCGTGCTTCTTACGTTATTTGATTAAGCTTCTGGATTTGAACATTTTTTGTTTCTACATCTTTGCATCCAATTGCTAGCCACTTCTTACTCTACCTCAAGTTCGGCAATTAGATGGTTCATTTCAGATTCAAATCCCTTGAACATGATATTTTTCTCACCCTCAAATTTATCAAGAATATCAATCTTCATCTCTTCTAAATCTTTGGCTCGATCCCTTTTCTCTTTGCATTTCATTCACGATCTCGCGATGTTCAACTTTGTGTTTTATAATTCGCTCTCTTCTGTCAACCTCAAAATCTTCCATTTTTTGCTTTCCTTTCTCAAGGCTTTTGAGTAGACGGCTATTCTTTCCTTTCAGATCTTCAACTCGACTTTTCTCGATGTTCAATTCTCTGGTCATCTGTACTGTTGATCGGCTCGGTCCTGATGATTTCCGGGATTTATATAACTCCTGGTAATTTTTCTTTAATGCGCTGAATTCAACATTAACTTTTTCTTTGTTTTCTCTCAACATTGCACATTGTGATGAATGAAAGTCAATGTCAACACCCAACATAGCTTTGTCTCGTCTCATTTGCTCTAATTCTCTTGACCAATCTTCTCTTTCTGCTTCAAACTCAGCTCTCAGGATTTCAATATTTGATGGAACCACCTTAATGTGATCTTCCATAGAGATATCCTCAGTTTGGTCTGGTAGAGGAATATTTTCATTTTTCCTGATAGATCTCCATTCCTCATAATCAGGAGTTAGCATTTCTTTTGCTGCTTTAGCTCGGATACAAAAAGTTGTTTTCCAAGCTGTAAAGGCTTCCATGATATTTCTTTTATAATTTTTGCTGTGGAATGCGAACTCAGATGAATGTAATCCAGCAGTGACAGGTACAAATTGACGACCTTCATACTGTCTTATAACCAGAAGTGGCGCATATCCAATTTCTTCCCACAATCCGAGCAGCATTATCCAGTTGTAATCACCACATTAGTAAAAGAATTCTCTTTGGATTTGCCACGGGGCTCTCCAAACAATGTCATTGCTTTGCAGATTTCGAAAGGCATTAATCCACATATCTTTCTTAATTTCTTTCGGCCATTTTTGCTCCAGAAATTCTTTTAATGGTGAGTAATCCGTATTAAAACGCCGGTATGAAACCTTTTCTGTCCTCCAGAAATGGCTACGGATCCAAACATATAACAATTGAGTACACCCTGAGAATCGTCCACCTCCTAGCTTTCTACAAGCATTTAACGATCTGAAAGTCTCTGCTAGAATTGCAGAATAAGGATTAATCTTTTTTTGGTAGCTGCTCAAATAAATCTACTACTGCAGCTTCAATATATCCCAATACTTTTGGGAAGATGACCATACCATACATACCCAGAGCAAATAGATCGAATCATACTTTAGTGTCTGGATGACTCTGAATAAGTTCTTTAATGTTAGTCCAAGCAATGCCTTCGCTTTCACCCTTTTGTTTTGTACGGGATGCCACTCATTCTTCTCGTACTCCGGCAATCTTTGCTAATTTAACTCGAAAGGGTTGAGTTTTAATTGACTTTGAATAAATTCGATTCTCCAAAGCCCCTTCTATATGTAGCAAAGTTGTATACTCTTCAATAGTAGGGACCAAGTCCTCTTTATTGAGAGTGAAGCAATTGTACTCGGGATTCCAGAATTGAATTAGGGCTCGAAGTAAGTCATCATCAACTTCGACGTAGAGCAAATATGAAATGTCTCCGTAAGTCTGATAAAACTGCAACTTTTTGTTTGAATCCCAGCTTTCCCAAATGCTTCGCAAATCTTGCATGTCATTTCTTTTCAGCGAAACTGGAGCATAATTGGCTAAGTCATATACATAGTCATCTTGCAGACTGTCTCCTCCTTGTCTTTGTAAGTCCTCAGCCCACTGTCTTACTTATGAGTTTAGAACTATTTTGATTTGAACACTTTTTATCCATGGATGAAGGTTTTCCAATGAGACAATTAACACGAGGATCAATGCCTTTTATCCTGTATGATGCTATGCAAAAAAAATAAAGAACACAAAAAAATAAATGAATTAGTTTATAAAAAAAAATTAATAATAGTCTACCTAAATATCTTTATTTAAACATGCTTTCTTCATAATTTAAATAATTTAAATTCACATGTAATTTAATCAGTAAGAAAATAAATAAATAAATTAAAAGGAAAGTTAGAATTCATTTCTCCTGTGTGTACACCTATTTTGGACAAAATTTCGGCATGGCTTCAGATCGGAAGAGTTTCTAGGGTTTATTATATGCAGGGTTTCAGATCTAAGAATAAAGGTACCCGAATTGTCCTTGTTAGTGCCCCCTTGGGCTGTTAACCCTCAATCCTAGTCCATCACAGACTAAAGTGGATCAAGTTCAATTCGAGGGGATACACTTCTCTATGCCTGACACGGAGAATAAATTCTCACGAAGACATATAGCATATGAACCCCGAAATTACTTGCTAGGTCTGACACGGAGAATAAATTCTCACGAAGACGTCGCTTTCACTCCCACTTAAAAGGGACAAACTCAATTATAGAGCTTTATGCTATGCAATGCAAGTGTTGTGTGTGAGGAGAAATGTTCAAACCTCTGACAGAAAAAATAAATAATGAAATAAAATACTTGTAAGTAAAATGAAATATAAATATAAATATTATAAAAATAATAAGTATATAAAAAAATTGAAAAGAAAGAATTATAAATTAAATATATGAATTTTAATTCATAATTAATAGAGACAATTTATAATTGATTTTAAAAGTTTAACCAGTCCCCAGCGGAGTCGCCAAGCTGTCGTAACCGGTTTTCGTCCGGGCACGAATTTTTACTTGGCGGGAAAAGTGATGTGAATAAATTAATGATTTTGATTTTATTTTAAAAAATATTTTGGGAGTCGCCATCGGCCTTTTGGGTTAGGTAGGTCGAATACCTAAAAATCATCTTTTAAAAGAGTTTTTAAGAAAACATCGATTAAAAGATAAACTGATCTGCGTTTTAACCAAAAATTCATTCTTTTTAATAATAAAAAAGGATTCGTGGTCGGTTACATTTAGGGAATGATTAGCACCCCTACAACGCCCAAATTTGGTATTTTTTAATTAGAAATTGTCTCTATTATTAGAAATTTAAAAATTTAAAATATATTTAATTTATAATCCTATTATTTCAAAATTATAATTATGAGAGAAAAAAAATATTAATTTATATATAAAATAAATAAAATATTTATTTATTTAGAAATATCAGAAAATGACTTCTAGGTGCCTTAAGACAACTCTTTTCTTCGATATTAATAAATATTAACAATATAATAATTTAAATAAAATTAAATTATAATTTTTATAATATTTAATTTTAAATTACCAGAATAGGACATCCAGTTGTATTAAGACTGCCCTTTTCTTCGATATTGAAAAATAAATAAATATTAAAATATGATAAAAATAATTTATGTAAAAAAAATAAATTATTATTATATATATATTTATATGACTATATAATAATAAAATAATATTTAAATATATAAACAAGTAAAATTAAAACATAAATAAACAATAAAAATACAATTAGAACTATATTTAAAAGCAATAAAACTTTATAATAAATGAAAAATATTTAAAAATAGTGACTAAATTATAATATAATAAAATTAAATACCTAATTCATAATTAATTATTTGAAATTACAGGGATTAAACATGCTATTTTCCTTATTTATTAATTTGGTGACTAAAATAAAATTATAAAAAATTTGAATATCAAATTAAAATAAATTAAAAATATATACTTTGGGATTAAAATATTAATTATTAAAACTAAAGGACTAAATACGTATTTTATCTAAAATATTTATAATTACGATTAAGGGTTAAAATATAAATAAATAAAATGTATAGACCAAATTAAAAGGAACATAAACTTGATTCAGTGATTAAAATATAAAACATATAAAATAGAGGGACTACGGATAGGGTTTAACATTTAAAAATTACACAAATAGCCCTCCCCAAAACGACGTCGTTCGGGAAGGGCTATTTAAGTCCCACAATTGGCTGGCCCGAAGGGCCAACTCTCATTTCTCAATTTCTCTCCTCTCTCTAAACAGAGAGAGTTAAAACTCTCTCTCGTCTCTCTCTAGCTTCCCTCATCAGAGGGAAGCCGACTACCGGACGTCAGCCGTCTGCCACCGTAATTCCCACCGCCGGCCACCGATCGGACCGTCCTAATGATGGTTCCGGTGTTCCTTTCTTTTAAATAGCTCCCGATCGGAGCAAATCTAGGAAAATACCTTCGGTTTTTGAAGGTTTTTGGTGACGTTTGGAGGCCGGTGGTGACTCCGATCAAGGCGTTGTCTTCCCCGGTAAGTTTCTCTCGTTCTTCTCTTTGCTTATTTTGGTGTTTATGGTTGCTGGTTTGCTCGTTTTTTTTTCTTGTTTGTTGTTTTTTTTCTTTTTCTCTCTCTGTTGGTTGCCGTTTTTTCTTTGCAGGTTGGGTGATGGCTTTATAGCCATCATCGGCTCTTGTCTCGGACCGATCCTAAGGGTGGAGTTCGGTGAGTCACCAGACCGTAGGTGGTGACTCACCCCATGGTTCGAACGTGGACGACGTTCCTTGCTTCCTCTAGATGTTTCTGTTGAAGCGTGGCAGCAGTTGATGGAGGTGTCAGAGAGGCGGCCGGCGTCGTGGCCCTAGGGTATCATAACCATAGGGTTTGCTGTTGGGATCATCTGGACGCGTATGGACCGTTTGATCATGCCAGATCCAACGGTGGATAGCTGATGGCGGCTGGGGCTTAGATATAAACCCTAAATGGGGTTAGGGTTATACATTTGGGCCTTTAGGTCTGGGCCACTGTATTTGGGTTACTGGGTTGGGCCGAACTTGGCCCGTTTGTAATAATAATTTAAAAAAAATAAAATAATAATAATATAAATAATAATAGAAAATGAAGAAAAAAAATAGTATATTCACAATGCATTGGTCAAGATGATGGAAATCAGAATGCCTAGGCATTAGACAATGTTGATCCGGCTGTTAGGCCGCGCGTTATTCGTGATCACTTAAATCCGATATTGGATGATCTGAATCCTGGAACTGTGGCACTCGAAATTCAAGCTGCACATTTCGAGCTGAAACCAGTCATGTTCAACATATTGAATTCCATTGGGCAGTTTGGGGTATGCCAAATGAAGATGCCAGGCAGCACATTCGTAATTTTCTAGAAGTTTGTGATTCTTTTCTCCAAGAGGGAGTACATGAGGATTTTCTGAAGTTAAAGTTGTTTCCGTATTCATTGCGTGACCGAACAAGGGCTTGGTTGAGTGTTGTACCAGCCGGTTCGATAGAATCATGGACTGATCTTTGCAAGAGTTTCTTATTGAGGTACAACCCACCAAACATGAATACGCAGCTAAGGAATGATATATCATCTTTTTGCCAGGGCGACAACGAATTCATGTATGAGTGTTGGGATCATTACAAGAGTTTGTTTCGAAAGTGTTCAAATCATGGTTTTCATGATTGGACTCAAGTAGTCATATTCTATAATGGAGTCAATACACCCACGAGGATGTTACTGGATGCCTCGACAAATGGGACATTGTTGGATAAATCACCTACGAAGGCGTTTGCTATCTTGGACATAATTACTAACAATGATTATCAGTTTCCTTCCTCAAGACTTGGGAGTGGGAGGAGAGCACCTGGAGTATTTGAGTTAGATACCAAGGATTCAGTGTCCGCTCAACTCTCAACTATCACCAATATGCTAGAAAAACTTACAACGCTCTACTGAGGTGAAGGAAGTGAAAGCAACTAGCTTGGCATGTCTAATATGCCAAGGCAATCATCATGAGAGTGAATGCCCGAGCAATCATGAGTCCATTAACTTTGTAGGCAATTACAATCGAGGCAACAACAATCTTTACTCTAACACTTATAATGTTGGATGGCGTCAGCACCCCAATTTCTCATGGGGAAATCAAGGAGCCCACAATGCTAGTCAACCTTCTCGGCAGCAAACTCACAATGAGTCTCAAGGTTACCAGAATGTTATGCCATGGCATAATGTTAACAAAGGAGCTTTAACTTCAGTAAGCACGAGTTCCTTGGAAGCTACAATTCAAGAGTTCATATATACTATGAAGACATGCTGCAAACCATTCTACTTCAATTAAGAATCAAGGGGCTTTACTTCATAGTCAATGCGTCTTACTTCAAAGCCATAGCTCGTCTTTGAGAGCTTTGGAAGGTCAAGGCGATTGCCAAGTGATACTGAAGTCACTAAAGGGCCTGGAAAAGAGCATTGCAATGTGTTAACTCGTAGGAGTGGAACACAAATCAATCAACAAGTCAAGGCTAGTGCGCCACAACATGATGACTCTACTCCCACTACTGAAAGTGGTGAAGCTGAATTGCATGACGATACCATTACTGAGAAGGACAAGGAGGAGGGTTCTACTGATGATTCAACTAAGGCACCAGATTCTGATGCCAAGGCAAAAGCAATTCCTACTACTGCAGTTAAGGAAACGAGACCTCCACCACCCTTCCCGTAAAGATTGAAGAAGCATAATGATGAAGTTCAGTTCAAAAAGTTTGTGGACAGATCCATATCAATGTACCTCTCTTGGAAGCTATTGAACAGATGTCGATGTATGCCAAATTTCTGAAGGAAATCTGTACCAAGAAGAGGAAAGTAGAGACTGTTGCCACGGCAACAAAATTTTGTTCTTCATTGAATAAGTTGTCGCCAAAGAAAAATGATATGGGCAACTTTATTATTCCTTGTTCGATTGGAGCTAATTTCGTTGGAAAGACGCTGTGTGATCTTGGCTCAAGTGTCAACTTAATGCCAAAATCTATATTCTTGAAGCTTGGCATAGGAGATGCAAGACCCACCTCAGTTATTTTACAACTTGCCAACAGATCTCATGTTAAACCTGAAGGGAGAGTCGAGGATGTCATAGTGAGGGTGGATAAGTTTGTGTTTCCAGTCGACTTCTTAATTCTGGATTACGAAGTTGATGCCAAGGCACCGATTATTCTGGGAAGACCTTTCCTAGCCACTGGACGTACGTATATTGATAGACTGTGAAAAAGGTGAACTCACCATGAGAGTGGTTGATCAGTGTGTGACTGTCAATGTGTTTCGAACGCTCAAATATGTTGATGACAATGAAGAATGCCAAGGCATTTCTAAATTGAACTCAGTGATTGAAGAAGAAACTGAACATCTTTGCCAGAACAATTTCATTCAGCTAGTAGAAAATGAATATTTGTTGGATGATGAAAGCTCAGTGGAGTCCGATGACTTTCCAATTTTGGAGGAGCAATCTAGCTTACTACAAGCTAGATCAGGTATGAATTTTGAACATCTGAATTTTGAACCTCTAAATTTTGATGAATTTATTCTTCCTAAGCCTTCATTATTGCATGCACCAACTTTAGAGCTTAAGACTTTGCTAGGGCATCTTAAATATGTTTACTTAGGTAGAAATGAGACTTTACCGGTGATTATTTCCGCTAACCTTACTGCTAATCAAGAGCAAAGTTTGTTAAGTGTTTTGATGCAGCATAAGAAATCAATTGGTTGGACTATGACCGACTTGAAGGGCATTAGTCCCACGATCTGCATGCATAAAAGTCTGCTGGAAGATTGCCACGGTAATTCAATTGAACCACAAAGAAGACTCAATCCTGTTATAAAGCAAGTGGTGATGAAAGAAATTCTGAAATGGCTTGATGCTAGAGTGATTTACCCTATCTCCAATAGCTCATGGGTGAGCCCTGTCCAGTGTGTTCTGAAGAAAGGAGGCACGACTGTGGTTACTAATGAGGATAATGAGCTATTAACCACTCGCACTATTACCGGATGGAGGATATGCATGGACTATAGAAAGCTCAACAAAGCTACGAAGAATGACCATTTTCCTCTACCTTTCATCGACCAAATGTTGGATCGATTGGCCGGCAAAGCATTCTATTGCTTTTTGGATGGGTACTCGGGGTACAATCAAATTGCCATCGCACCAGAGGACCAAGAAAAGACTACATTCACTTGTCCCTATGGAACTTTTGCCTTTAGGAGGATGCCTTTTGGACTCTGTAATGCCCCGACAACATTTCAGTGCTGTATGCAAGCTATATTTTCAGACATGGTTGAGGATTTTCTAGAGATCTTCATGGATGACTTTTCTGTTTGTGGAGACGATTTTGAACGATGTCTCGACAATTTAGCAAAAGTTCTCAAAAGATACGAAGATTTTGAGTTAGTCTTAAATTGGGAAAATGTCACTTCATGGTGACTGAAGGGATTGTATTAGGGCACAAAATTTCACACAAGGGTATTGAGGTGGATAAGGTGAAGATTGAAGTGATTGAAAATTTGCCACCACCAACTTCGATCAAGGGGATAAGAATTTTTCTTGAACATGCTGGATTCTACAGAAGGTTTATCAAAGACTTCTCCAAGATTTCTAAGCCCTTGTGCACATTGCTTCAACAAAATCAACCCTTTGTGTTTGACGAGTTATGCCTCGACGTATTTACTGAGCTGAAAAGACAACTGATCTCGGCACCCATTGTAGTTCCTCCTGATTGGACATCACCATTTGAGCTGATGTGTGATGTAAGCGATTATGCCGTAGGAGCTGTTTTGGGGCAACGCCGAGGTAAAATATTTCATGTTATTTATTATTCTAGCCGCACTTTAAAAAAGCACAATTGAACTACACCACCATTAAGAAAGAATTTCTTGTCGTGGTATTTGCTTTTGATAAATTTAGACCTTACCTAATAGGCACTAAAGTTATTATTCACACTGATCATTCGGCTATAAAATATTTAGTGAACAAAAAGGATGCCAAGCCTAGACTTATTAGGTGGATCTTACTTTTGAAAGAATTCGACTTAGAGGTGGTAGATAGAAAAGGAACTGAGAATCAAGTTGCTGATCACTTATCTAGGCTAGAGAAATAATTCTGAATGCCATGACACTATAGATATTAAAGAGGAATTTCCTGATGAGAAACTTTTATATGTCATGGCAATTCTGTGGTACGCTGACCTTGTTAATTTTTTTGTTAGTGGAATTCTGCCTTTTGATTTAGATAGTCATGCTAAAAAGAAATTCAAGCATGATGCAAGGCACTATTTTTGGGATGAGCCATATTTGTTCAAGTATTGTGCCGATCAGCTCATTAGACGATGTGTACCCGAAGAGAAACATCGTGATATTTTATACCATTGTCATTCGACCCCAAGTGGAGGTCATTTTGGTGGAGCAAGGACTGCTGCTAAGGTCCTGCAATCAGGCTTTTACTGGCCAAATCTGTTTAAAGATGCCCAAGCATTTTACAAAGCTTGTGATCGATGCCAACGGACTGAAAACATCTCCAGACGACATGAGATGCCGCTGCAAAATATCTTGGAGATAAAGTTGTTTGATGTGTGGGGCATTGATTTTATGGGACCATTCCTATCTTCTGAAGGAAAATTATATATATTGCTTGCTGTGAATTATGTATCAAAATGGGTAGAAGCACTTGCGACAACAAGGAATGACTCCAAGACTGTGCTTAAGTTTCTGCACAAGTACATTTTCACTCGGTTTGGAGTACCCCAAGCTATTATAAGTGATGAGGGAACCCATTTTGATAACAAATTGATTGCCAAAGCACTGAAGAGATATGTAGTTCGACACAAGATTTCCACGTCATATCATCCGCAGACAAATGACCAAACAGAAATTTTCAATCGCAAGATCAAGCAGATTTTGGAGAAAGTGGTGAACCCGAGGCGTAAGGATTTGGTTGCCAAAGTTGGATGAAGCACTTTGGGCGTATAGAACAGTATTCAAGACTCCTTTGGGGATGTCACCCTTCAAGTTAGTATATGAGAAAGCTTGTCATCTCCCGGTTGAAGTTGAACATAAGGCATATTGGGCCATCAAACGATTGAATTTTGATGCTCAACTAGTTGGGGAGCAAAGATTACTAGAACTTAATGAAATGGAAGAGTTTAGAGCACAAGCATATGAGAATGCTAGGATCTACAAGGAGAAAACCAAGAAGTGTCATGACTAGAAACTGATGCCACAATATTTTCATGTGGGGCAACAAGTCTTGCTTTACAACTCCAGACTTAAACTCTTTCCTGTGAAGCTCAAATCTCGATGGTCAGGACCATTTGAGTTGCATTATGTCTACCCCCATGGAGCTGTTGACATCAAGAGAATAGACAATGGGACGATCTTTAAGGTCAATGGCCAGCGTCTGAAAGCCTACAATAGAGTTCCACCACCTCATAACAAGGACGTGTTACGTCTACACGATGCTGAAGCGTGCTAAGGGGAGAACCAAAATTCGATGCCACGACATTGAATTTGTGTCTGTGCATAAATAAAATTTAAAATTTAAGCTTTTCTTTTCTTTTCTTTTCTTTTCTTTTATTTTATTTTGTAATTAATTTTTGATATGATTTGTAGGGACCACAGTGCTGCAAAACCATGCAGGAGGAGTTATCCAATTGGAGGAAATGACAGCGCATTAATGGAAGATATATTTCTTTGATTTTATTTCTTTTTAATTTACTTTAATTCTGACATTACTTGCTCTCGAGGAAGAAGTGATGCAGATTCAGACTCACCTGCATGCTTTGTACGGTGACATCCGTAACTTCTTTGGATATGTGAAGCATAGAGATGCTGTGGTGGAATCAATGTTTCAAGAAATTATTCCCCACGGTCATTGGAATTTTCCTAGCTTCCCAGACAAAATTATGCCGACATTCAATGCCAAGGAATCTCCAGAGCCCGAACAAGGTGAAGACGATCCTCCAATTGATGACCCGACTCCTGATCAACACCGTTCTGACACCCCTGAATATCCACCCACTGTCCCTATCGAAGAAACACCCAGTCCCGTTCCTGTACCACGTAGTGGTCGGCGCACCAAGACTACGGCTGGACGTAAGAAGATTGTGCATCACTACTCTTCTTCTTCAGAATCCAGCCCAACACCCCTTCGCAAGCGTACTAGGCGAGGAGCTGCTAGCACCTCCAAGGCAACACCACCACGTAAACATTGAGGTACCTCACTTGCATTCATTTTCATTTAGTTTGCATTTCATTGCATGACATTTAGTTTATATTTAGTTTAGTTCTCTTTAAGCATTGAGGACAATGCTTCCCTTAAGTTTGGGGGAGGTAATGTTCTTGCTAGGACATATGCATGATAGCATTAACATAGTATTATGCCATGGCATCAGTAAATGGTAAGATAGTTAGATAGAATGTTTTGAGGATACCCAATGATGATGATTTTGTTAGGCTAGAATCTGAATGTAAATGACTGTTGAGAATGATAGAACTCACTCTAGGGCTTGGTGCTTTGTGAAAAACTTTTACACGATTTGTATATTCTCTATACTTAGAAAATTTGAAATTTTTTTATAAAGGAACTCTAGTTAGTTTTGGCATTGAAATATGGTATTGTGCTTAAAAGAAAAAAAAACAACTCCCTTATATATGAAACTATGAATAAATGCTTAGGCATAGCTGTAGAGGGACACTCCTCTTTGCTGTGGCATTGCCTGGAATTCTCTTTAATAAATGGCAGCCTTGTGCATATGAGTGAATGAAATAAGTCACAAAATGACTCTACTTAACTAGCTTGGGTGTGGAAGGTATGCTCCCTTTCACCTAGAGTGTGGGAGAGTAGGTGTGATGAGCTGACTCCCTTCGTAACAACATCTTTAAAAAAATCAGAAAAGAAAAAGGGAGTAAAGAAAATGTGCTTAATGAATAAGTAAATGCCTTGACAAAAACTAGGGGACTTGATTAGAGATTGTCTAAGTTTACTAAGTATAGATTGGATACAATCATGCACACACGACCACAAAGAATCTTGACCTAGGGAAAAGTACTTGATTTCTTAATAAGTCTAGCATGTTAAAGCCTATTGTTCTAAGGGTTGAAATTCGATTTTGTTCTACTGTCTTATTATTAAAAATTGCCATGGCATTTTGTTTGTGTAACTGTTATCCATTGCTTGAGGACAAGCAATAGCTTAAGTTTGGGGGGTGTTAACTTCCTAAAGAGGCTACTTTTAAGGCCTTTTTCAGATTGAAATGCCTTGGCATTTCTGGCGCAGAAAATGACAAAATGATACAGTTGTATGAGGACAGCTGGCACGGCACGTGGAATGATTGCTGTCGCCACCTTCTAGAGGACTAAGGCCACCTGGAGAATTAAGTTCATGCTTATAGTGTGATTCTATGGGTATGAGGGGTATTTTGTACCTAACAACCTAATCATTACCCCTAGATCCTTTTATTATAATGACACCTAAAAGGAGATAATGGAGAGAGGTGAAGAGGCATACGCATAGAGTAGAAAAAAAATCAGATTTTTATTTTCCTTTTCCTTTTCTTCTTCCTTGGGTTTTCCTCCATTGATTAAACTCCAAGGAGTGGCGAGCTAGGTGCCAAGAGGAGCTAGTGAGCTAAAGTGATTTGTGGTGGCCGAGGAGACCTCTGGTGACGCGTCGAAGGCTTCTTCTCACTTCCCTTTTTGCTACTATATTTTCGATTTATTTGTTGGTTATTGGAACGAATATTTGCATGACTTTGTGTTTGGATATTTCGAACCCCACCATGAACTAACTTATTTGGTGGTAGTTGGTTTAATGGATTTGATTATATATTTGAGTTTATTTCGGTTCTTTATTTGCTTTGCTTATGAATGCTTCATCATCTAGGCTTGTAAGAGGCATGGTGTTAGGTATGGCTCGTTGTGGGGTTACAAATTATGTGGGTTGGGGGTGCGGGGGCGTAGCCCCCGCGGTACGGTACAGGGTTGATTTTGTAATTATGTACCAGGGTTTTCTATTATAAATAGAGATGTAACCTAGACCTAAAATATCATTGAATAAAATTCTAGCGCCGCCTAGGCACCGAGGACGTAAGCACATTGTCGAACCTCGTAAAATTCTCGTGTTCTTTCGTTTTCTTTACCCGTTTTTGTCAACAATTGGTATCAGATATCAGGAGCAAAATTCGAAGTCGCGAAATTCGATGGTCAGGGTAACTTCGGATTATGGCAAACGAGGGTGAAGGATCTATTGGTGCAGCAAGGGATCTTGAAGGCTTTGCGACCTATAAAGCTGGCGTCGATGGATGAGGAAGATTGGGAAGAATTGCAGCAGCGAGCGGCAGGAACCATACGATTATGCTTGGTGGACGAGGTCATGTATCACGTCATGCATCTATCGTCTCCAGACGAAATTTGGAGGAAGTTGGAAAGTCAGTTTATGTCCAAATCCTTAACGAAAAAACTGTATATGAAGCAGCGGCTGTATGGGCTGAAGATGCAGGACGATCACGATTTGGCGCAACACGTGAATGTCTTCAATCAAATCGTTTCTGATCTGGCTCGGCTTGATGTGAAAATTGAGGATGAAGACAGAGCGATGATTCTGTGTGTTCGTTGCCTTCCTCTTACGAACACATGGTGACTACTCTTACATATGAAAAGAGACTATCAACGTTGAGGAGATTACTGCAGCCTTGTTGGCTCACAACCAGTGAAGCAGAATGCAGGGGAAAGCTCTCAAGCCGATAGCTTATATGTCAGGGTAATCGAGATCGTGGACGAAGCCAGAGAAGGCAGGTAAAGCGGAATTCCAGATCCAAATCCAGGGATAAGAAGACGATTCACTGTTACAAGTGCAGGAGCGGGACATATGAAGCGAGACTGTCCGAAGTTGAAAAAGCAGACGGATGAGAAGCGTGATGGCTCATCCAAGTCTGTGAACGTGGTCGAGGATGATACTTCTGATTGCAGTGAGGGTGATATGCTTTCTATTTTAACGACACAATTGACGGATGCTTGGATTCTTGATTCTGGATGTTCTTATCACATCACGCCAAATAGGGAATGGTTTTCGACATACAGGCCGGTTAATTCTGGTTCGGTTTATTTGGGTGATGATCGATGTTGCAATATTGTTGGTATTGGTGATGTCAGATTAAGATGCACGATGGCTCCGTTCGGACGTTGAGTGGTGTTCGACATATCCCAGACTTGAAGAAGAATTTGATTTCCTTGGGCACTTTGCACAAGAATGGTTTATCCCTAAGGCTGACGAGGATAGGGAAACCATTCGGATTGTTAAAGGAGCATTGACTGTGATGAAAGGCAATATGACTGCAGGGAATATCTACAGATTGTTAGGGAGTACCGTTGCAGGTGGAGTTCACTCTGTTGAGTCCTGTGATGACACAAATTGTGGCATAGCGCCTTGCTCATCTTAGTGAACGTGGTATGGCAGAATTACACAAGAGAAACTTGTTGCATGGTGTCAAAAGCTGTAAGCTTGATTTTTGCAAGTATGTGTTCTTGGTAAACAGACTAAAGTCCGTTTCAAGACTGCGAAGCACACAACTCAAGGGATTCTTGATTATGTGCATTCTGATGTATGGGGCCCTTCCACGACATCGTCTTGGTGGATCTAGGTACTATGTTTTTTATTGATGATTTTTCACGGAAAGTTTGGGTGTATTTTTTGAAACAGAAATCTGAAGTTTTTGAGAAGTTCAAGCTGTGGAAAGCTGAGGTAGAAAACCAAACAGGACGAAAAATCAAGTTTTGCGGTCTGACAATGGTACGGAGTACACAGATTCACAGTTCCCACAATTCTGTAAGGAGCATGAGATTCAGAGGCATTTTACAGTGCGCAAGACACCACAACAGAATGGTGTTGCGGAACGAATGAACAGGTCGTTGAATGAAAGAGCCAGATGTTTGCGGTTGAATGCGGGGCTTCCCAA